GGGGGGCAGAGGTAGAGGGGTGAGGGCTGGGATGGGGGGCAGAGACACAGGGGTCAGTCAGGGCTGGAACTGGGGGAACAGGCAGAGGGATCAGGGCCAGGATGTGAGAACAGGGCAGCTGCGGGAGCCCAGAAGTGGTGCCCGATGCTACCTGGGGCTTCCCAAGGGAGGGAGGTCTGAAGTGAGAACTTAAGGATGAATGAAACAGGCGCAAGGAGGTGGAAGCGGGGCGGAGCACTGCTTGTACAAAAGTTTAGTACTCGATATTTACTATTCTTCCAATAGTAGCGGCCCAGGACCCGGTTCCTCAGCTGTGAGCTGCGTCAGTTCCCAATCTGAGTATTGTCCTTGCTGGAGACCCCAATCCTGTACCCAGTTCCCCAGCTCTTACCCCAACCCCGGGCCCCCTCTGTCCCACCCCCTGTGAGGGGCCCCAGCCCCAGCCAGTGCCCCAACACCACCCCCACCCCCACCCAGCCAATAAGCCCTTGCCCCAGAACCATGGCCATGGCCCACCTTGAGACAGTTATAGCCAATGATGCAGAGAAAGGCCACCAGCGTGTGCAGGAGACTCAGGCACCGCAGGGCGGGCTCCATGTAGCCCGTGCTCTCCTCCAGGAAGTAATACACCATGCTCTCATCCTCATCGCCCTCCGCCTCCTCTCCGGCCCCCAAGCCCCAGCCAGAGCCGCCGCCAGAGCCTGCACCTGACACGTCCCCAGTGGCTGAGCCCTCCATGTCATCCTCCCCTGGTGGAGAGTCCGAGACCTGAAATGGGGGCAGAGATCCATCTGTGGGTCTGCCACACCCAGAACCCACTCACAATATTAACAGCCTCCATTCCTGAGATTGGTCTGGGGCCGTACTAGATACTGTCTTAGTGTGGCCGTCAATCAAGATCGAGGGGTGGGCCCAGGAGCCTAGCTAGCAAATCAGACTCTGTCCTGGGAATTTGCCTATTGAACCAAGGGACACAGAACTGAAGACAGAGTTGGTTCATCTCGATAGTGGAGCACTAAAGAGATTGCCCGCTAATATTAACACTAACAAGAAAATTAGTAGCAGCTACCATTTACACAGTGATTTTATATGCCAGGTACTGTTGTTCTAAGTGCCTTACGCATATTCATCTTTTTTTTGGTGGGGGACACAGAGTTTCACTCATTGCCCAATCTCTGCTCACTGCAACCTCTGCCTCCCAGGTTCAAGGATCCTCCTGCCTCAGCCTCCCACATACCTTGGATTACAGGTGCCTACCACCACGCCCGGCTAATTTTTTGTATTTTTAGTAGAGACAGGGTTTCACCACACCGGCCAGACTGGTCTTGAACTCCTGACTTCACGTGATACACCTACCGTGGACTCCCAGATTGCTGGGATTATAGGTGTGAGCTACCGCACCTGGCCTCATCCTCTTTCTTTATTATTTGTTGAGACAGAGTTTCACTCTTGTGGCCCAGGCTGGAGTGCAGTGGCACGATCTCAGCTCACTGCAACCTCCACCCCTCCTGGAATCAAGTGGTTCTCTTGCCTCAGCCTCCTGAATAGCTGGGATTACAGGCACGCTCCACCACGCCCAGCTAATTTTTGTATTTTTAGTAGAGATGGGATTTTACCATGTTGACCAGGCTGGTCTCGAACTCCCAACCTCAGGTGATCCACCCGCCTTGGCCTCCCAATGTGCTGGGATTACAGGCGTGAGCCACCGCACCTGGCGCCTCATCCTCTTTCAATCCCACAGCTCTAAGAGGTATTCCATTCTACAGGTGAGGCAGTTGGAGCACAAATGCATTAAGCACCTTGCCTAACCTCACGCGGCCAGTGGGCGGTGAGCGGGACTGGGGCCCACAGAGGCCACGCTCCGATCTCTCTAGTCTACCTTACCACCCTTTCCTTCCATCTGTCAGTGGCCCGTTTCTTCCTCCCCGCAAACTTCTGTTTAGCTTACGTGAAAGCAAAGATGCTTAGCGGAATCGGTGGGTATTGGCGAGAGCTGAGAGCCTGTACCCAGGTGCACAGAACTGGCCTGTGGCCGAGCTGAGCAGGGAACTCAGCTCCTGCTCTAGCTCCCGCAGGCACTCAGGCGTCTGTCCCAGATGGATGCAGGCACCCCCTACTCAACCCCATGGAGGCCAGTCCCAGGATCCAAGTGTCCAGTCTGAACCCTCCTAAGTACCCTGAGCCCAATGCCTTGTCCCTCCACTGGAGGAACCCAGAAAGCCTGACAGATGCCGAGCCTCCCGTCCCACAGCCTGGATAAGGGCCTGACCCTCCCCGCCTTTCAGGACCAGCACCTTATAAAACAGCAAGATGAAGTTGATGGCAAATGCCAGGAAGAGGGCAAGGAACCGCAGGGTGTAAAAGTTCCGGGACAGGTAGTTCTGAGAGAGAAAGGAGAGAGAAAGAGAGAGCACTCACAGATCAGCCTCTTCCCCGGAGAACTCAGCCATCATTTACCCACAGTCAAAGCACCTGGGCTCCCAACAGCTGTTCTCACAAACTCCTATCTACTTTTGAGACAGGGTTTCGCTCTGTTGCCCACGCTGGAGTGCAGTGGTGCCATCTCAGCTCACTGCAAACGCCACCTCCCGGGTTCAAATTCTCATGCCTCGGCTGGGATTACAGGCATGCACCACCATGCCTAGCTTATTTTTGTATTTTTAGTAGAGACAGGGTTTTCACATTAGCCAGGATGTTCTCCAACTCCTGACCTCAGGTGATTCACCCACCTTGGCCTCCCAGAGTGCTGGGATTACAAGCCTGAGCCACCGCGCCTGGCCCCGACCTTCTACTGGGCTAAGAGTTTTATTTGCATAAACTTGTTAAGTTCTCACCACAGCCCTGTGAAGTGGATACTACTGTTACAAGCACTTTACAGATGAGGAAACTGAGGCTCAGGGAAGCGGTGTCTTACTCAAGGTAACACAGTGGCAGAGCTGGGTTCTGAACACGGTCAGTCAGAGTCCAAGCTCCCAGCCTCCTGGACATGCTGCTTCCTGAGTAAGGTCACCCTGTCTGCTTTACACAAGATGGAAGGGAACTTTTTTTTTTTTGAGTCAAAGTCTCACTGCCACCCAGGCTGGAGTGCAGTGGTGCAATCATAGCTCACTGCAGCCTCAAACTCGTGTGCTCAAGTGATTCTCCCACCTCAGCCTCCTGAATAGCTGGGACTACAGGCACGTGTCACCACACCCAGTTTATTAAAAAAAAGTTTTGCAGCCGGGCGCGGTGGCTCAAGCCTGTAATCCCAGCACTTTGGGAGGCCGAGGCGGGTAGATCACGAGGTCAAGAGATCGAGACCATCCTGGTCAACACGGTGAAACCCCATCTCTACTAAAAATACAAAAAATTAGCTGGGCATGGTGGCTCGTGCCTGTAATCCCAGCTACTCAGGAGGCTGAGGCAGGAGAATTGCCTGAACCCAGGA